CTCCCCCTAACTGACGGCAACAAAACTCCTACATTATTCAATTAAAATAAAGAAGTAAAAACAATAAGTGTGGCTTGATATTGAGTAAGAAAAAGGTTGATAAACGCTGTGAGAATGGATCTGCGGGTAGCATTCGCTCGCGATCTCAAGTCGTCTACAACATACGTTTAGGGAGCTATATAGAAGCCTATGGACATCCCGGAAAGTTGAAAATGTATGCTAAGGGCCCCCCCCCTTGCGTTGGAAAAAGCCGACACAGGGGACTTGACATAACGTCAACATAGGCCGACCTGGGAGTGAGGATGTGTTGCATAATCACCTGAAGCCCCGCCCACTGTTTAGTGTGCTGCATGAGAAACGGGCTGTCAGGAGAGAGAGAGGGAGAGGGGAAAAGAGAGGATCCGTTTCTCCCATGTTATTATCCAAAGTTAATATAAACTTTTGAAGAATGTACTTCATCTACTACAAGTAGTTTGTTTGAATGTAATAATTATGTTCTTTGTTGTTTGTGGAATCATTTATTGAAAAATTATTATAAACTGAAGCAATATAAAAATGACTCCCATTAACTGAGTTTTAAACATCAGCATATCCATTACATTACATTACATTGCATTTAGCTGACGCTTTTATCCAAAGCGACTTACAATAAGTGCGTTCGACCAACAAAATACAACTTGAAGAAAACAGAATCATATAAGTACATCAGGTTTCATAGAGCAAAAACATTTCAAGTGCTACTCAACTGGCTTTAGAAAAGCCAGTCCTTTATTAGTATAAAAGTGCTTCGTTAATAGTTCTATCGCTCGAAGTGGAGTCGAAAGAGATGAGTTTTCAGTTTGCGCCGGAAGATGTGCAAGCTATCTGCCGTCCTGATGTCAATGGGGAGCTCATTCTACCATCTTGGAGCCAGGACAGCAAACCCACGTGTTTTCGCCGTTGGGAACTTGGGTCCCCCTCGCAGCGAGGGCGCAGCGAGTCGTTTGGCTGATGCAGAGCGTAGTGCACGCGCTGGGGTGTACGGTTTAACCATGTCCTGGATGTACGAAGGGCCAGATCCATTCGCAGCATGGTAAGCAAGTACCAATGTCTTGAAGTGGATTCTAGCATATCCTGTCATTGTCCGGTGATTACCTGCTAACGGAAACTTTGCTACACCATTCTTATTATTATTATTGAAACATGACCGGTAAGTTTCAAATTTGTCCGGTAAAATAAATTCTGTCCCGACATATCCGCTTACAATTCAGTGTTTCTCAAACTTTTTCATACCAAGGACCACCTAACCAATAAAAAAACACTCGCGGACCACCTAACTCCACAAATATCCAAAAACACATCGTTTTTTACAAATCGCCGGAAAATGGTACAAACAAGTGGCAACATGTGTGATGAAGGTGTTTATCTGGGCTATTTCATGCAATCGAAAGTGAAACTTAAGCTTGTTCCATTGCGGAGATATTCCCGTGAGAGTGCGAAAAACTTAAATAAATGTATTTCTTTCAAATGTGAAATTTTACCAATATACTCACGGATAACTAGGGGGTGCTCACTGACCACGGACCACACTTTGAGAAGCACTGGCTTACATTCATAATGTCAGCGGAGGGAGGGGAATTGGCGCTGTGGAAGAGCAGAGTGGCGAGGGAGAGCTGTCATCTTCCCTTTACAAGCTTCAAACATGTATTTATCGTGTGATTTTGGAAATAAACATGTCATATTCTGAAAGCCAAGACTTTGTTTATTTAAAATCAAAACAAACAAACAAAACACCCGAACCCCGAAAAACTATTTTTTTACGCAAATCCACGTTTATTTTGAAATGAGCTGTTGCGACTTCCGACTGATTTCGATAGAGCGGGTCACATATGGCAAATGTGTGGTTGTGGGGAACCGGGTCAATTAAAGTACTTATTTAACTATTAAATACATTGAGTTTGAGTCAAATACTTGGTTACTGATTAATTTAGGTTATAATATATTAAATTGCAAAGCAAAACTGCTGTAATTGATTTATTTTGTCCTTTGATATTTTTTAAAGGTTTTCAACCTGAAAGAATCCTAATGTGTCCTTGAAAAGTTGAAATAAAGAAAAGGAAAAAGGATTCCAGTTGTCCATGCGTCCTCTGTTGCCCCTCAAGCCTCTCAAATGTGGGCAAACACTCAAATAAATGCCAAAAACCGAGAGAACTTGACAATACTCAGAATAAAGGTATGTTAAATAACACTGCTACCTAGTTAATAACTCTACTTTACTCAGTGGAGGCTCGTCCATTGAGGAAAGGGAGGACCATCCTCCCTAACATTTCAGAGAAAAATTTACTTTGAAGAGAACAATAAATACACCTCTATTTAAAAGATAAGTCTGTTAAAATACAGATAATAGCCCTGGCTTTGGGACTGAAATGGGGCTAGACAGGACGAGCCTCCCTTTGGGCGGGTCTAGCCAGAGGCTCTGGATTGGGCGCCTATATCATCAGTGAACCAATCATCGGATCTGACTGCGCATCAGAGTGTTGATGGGGAGGGTTATCAGCGATAGAGTTTTTTCTGAACCGGGGAACAGGGGCGCTGCGCCCTCTTACCAAAATCAATTCCTTGAATTAGGCTTTGATTATGTTCTGGCCCGCCATCTTGTGGCTCAGCAAAAAATTGACCCTCGGCCAAACTTACTTGCCTACCCCTGCATTAGTCGGTGTCCGTCTAAATACTTTGCTCTACAACTGTTTTGGCTTCTTTTATATAAAAAGAAGCCAAAATAGCGACAGCCGGCCACATGTGTGAACATTTAATTGCTGCAGATTGCTTGCCTTCACGGCCAGATTCCTCGTACCACAGGTAGTCGTACACCTGAGCCTCCGGCCAGATACCATTTCAAGGTAGAGAGCCCAACAAGATGAGTGGCAAGTGCTGGCCTGGAAAGCTGCTCAACTGAGGTTGAGAGAGGTGGGAGTAATAATAAATTGCCTGCCTCAAGGCCAAGGGATGAAGGGTGAAGAGAGTATTAAAAGAGTCATTACTTTACTAAAGAAGACAGGAAACTGCTTGGTTCAATTAAAGTGAGAATAGAGTGATAAAGAAGAACAGTGTGATTTTGACTGCTCAACAGGCTTAAAGTGACTAGTGATATTTTTATTTCTTAACTACACCTAGTTTGTTGGCTCTTTTCCATTGATCTGAAACCCTCATCTGAAATCTACTTTCTTCACATGCCTACTCATCAATCTTTACATATATCTCATGATTTGGTTTGTAATATTATAGAATATAATTGAACCGAACATGGTGCTGTGATATTTTTGGACCAGGTTATTACATTTTAAAAAGGGAGCCCTTGTTTAAAATAGTAGAATATTTGGTATTCAAATTTTTTTTTTAAAGTTTATTCACATATCTTTCACTGTATTGTTTGCTCAACGGATTGAATATTTAATTGCTCTGTTAGACTGGCGTGCTGTGATGCCATCTTTCCCTCTTACTCCCGCTGCTGAACGGCAATCTCGAGGAAGAAAGATTGGCAATTATGAAAAGAGCAACACCAGTCTGACTTCATTTCTTGGTGTTATTTCTTAAATCTCAGAGAGATCACACTCTCTATTTTCTCACACTTCTAATAAAACTCAGTTGTATTCAATCTCATTTTGGGATTACATTTTGCCCTGTTGAGACCGGACAAGTAGAAATAAGCAGTTGTGTTTAAAGTTTCTGATTGTAAATTACTTTTTACCCCAATCACAAATATCTCTTTGTAATACTGTTTAGCAGACATTCAGATCAGACTGAAAAACATTTACACTGGGTTGTCAAAGTTTTCGGAGCAAGATTGATAACAATCCTAATTTGGAGCTTCTGAGTAAGTCCAACATTGCTGTATTTAACCCTAAAATCCACCGAATGTCCGGGGAAATAGGAGTTTGCGTTAGGGCTGCACGATATATCGTGTCGTGACGATAACCGCGATATGCGCATGTGCGATATTCACATGGCAGAACGTGACGATTTTTAAATGTTTTAGGACATGCGATATTAAGTAGGCAAATTAACTCAAACACGTCATGTTACAAACACTGAATAAAGTAGTTTCATGTGTTTCTCCAGGGCAGTTCGGCGCTGCTAACCGAGCTACAGTAGCTCAGCTTGTTGCTCTGATAACTTAAGATCCAGACGTCCCTGACTAAAATCCATACACTATAGTTAAAAAAATACCAATTGTATAGCATTAAAGTTCAAGAAAGGATGGTTTGCGGGAGAAAAAACTGTATTTTCTTCAATTCCTGTATGTTTTCATATCGCAATATATATCACAGGGGGGGAAAAAAATCGCAATGTCAGTTTTTTCCAATATCGTGCAGCCCTACAGTAGTTTGAGTGTCAAATTGTCTGAGGTTTTTTGCTGCATGTACCGAGCAGTAATGCTCTCTGGAGGTGGTCCAAACTCTGCTGTTGGATATAGTCTAATTTTCACACCTTAAGGAAACTATCACAGAACTACGTGCTTGAGGAAGAGGTTAGATTGCATGATGAATTCACAATATATCTTTAAGTCTGCCTGAGCTGAAAACATTACTCATATTCAGGGCAGGGGATGGGGTCAGGAGGCCAAACTGTAGATGGGTATTAATGAGCAAAAGGTTTCAAAACAATAACATCGGATTACAAATTCTGCAATGTTCCCCACCTGTATCAGCAAAACGCATATACACCTTAACCTGTATCTGTTTTATAGTGAATTATACTTTTCCTTCCAATTATAGAGAGGGGACCGTGTTGGAGCATTAATCAGAGGGGGCACAGAGAAAGGAGCCCTGTGTTTCTGATGATGATTAAGAAGCGGGCCGTGACTGTTGGAGCCTGATGAGCTCCTCCATGAGCAATAAACCCCTATTGTTGCTTCCTAGGAAAGATGTGGGTGTGTGTGCTTAGGTTGTGACATTGCATTAATATTCGGCCCAGAGCGGAGAAACAAAAACAAAGAAAGACAGCCATAAAGAGAGACTCACTGCAGCATCGTCCTCCCTACTGTCGCTGGTGTCCTCGCTCTTGTGGTGGCCGGCGGAGGAGCGAGTGTCCCTCTTCCGGCTGGCGTCTGTCCCCTCCGTCTGCCTCTCTCCATCTGGGACAAGGTGAAAACATGAACACCGCTTAGAAAGCCAGCAAGCATCGTTATCATCCCTATTGTCGCCGCCATCATCTTTCTCATTGTCATCATCCTTATCTCCATTTGGATTATCATCATTAACAGCATCATTCTCATCTCTGTAATATAATTGTTATTAGGAATATCTTTATTACCATCGTCATGATGGTCAACAATCATTTGGAGCTATCACACATTTTCTTCCAACTGAGCCTCCCTTGTGTAATCAAACCCAGATAAAAGTTTCCAGAGGCAAAGGAGATTAAGTGGAAAAAACTGTAATTGGAAAAGCGAGCAGAGACAAGAGAGAAGAATAAAAACCAGTCCGGAGGGGAAATGTGAATAGGGGGGAGTAAAAATGGGAGATCGTGAAATGGAGAGATATAAAAGAATAGCTTTTCTTGCTGCGAAGTGGAGCTGTTAGGATGCTGTCATGCCACAGATGGATTATGGGAGTTTTGCTGCACAATGATGACAGTTGCCTTGGCTGGGAGAGAACAAACCGGAATCTAAATCCACTCAATACGTGTGTGTGTGTGTGTGTGTGTGTGTGTCGATAACAATTTTTTTTTAATTGGCACTTCATATCAAAAAGGTTGCCGACCCCTGCTGTAGTGTATGCTTATTGCACAGCTAGTGTAAATAACCCCATTTGTGTTCTGTGAGACTGAAGGGGATGTTGCATTGTTTTCGTTGCAGTTTTATATACGTCTTAAATGTAATTTAGGTTAATTTCCTGTTTTATTTAGATGCTTTTATTTTGAAGGTGAGTTCACGCTGTTGACAGGAAGTTGTTGTTGCTATGGAAACAACATGACGGCGAAAAGAAATATCTTCTACGGAGAAAGTAAAGAATACATTGTATGTTTAAATGTTATCACCCCCCGAAGATGCACAAGGTTGGTATTTACTATAATATAAAATGGTACTATAGGTTGCGTCCTAATTCGTTTATAAGCTGTTTTGTAGCTTTGCTGTCTGTTTACGGTTAACTGTTGGTAGTATGCTAAAGTGATTCTAATACGGATTGAGCCTAAATGTATTTGTTATGTTTGTGTCTTTATAGCTCTTATGTTGACTCTGGAGTTGCAATACATTCAAAATCATCAGTAAAGTCTAAGATCATTATTTCGGAGGGATATGCTACAGCTAGCATTAGCTATTGACCTTGTTTACACTTAGCGGTCCTAAGTGTTAATCTGTGTATGTTACCCTTGCATGTATGAGATCATTAAGTGCCTTGTATCTTCTTTTTTTATAGTTTCACCCCGTTTGAATGTCAGTGGACTGCAAATAAGTAAATAAAGGAGCATGGCTGCTCATTCCCTGGCTCTCAAAAGAGTTAGGGTGGCTGTTTAATCTATGTTCACACTGAGACAGTACAACACAGAAAGAACAGTACACCGGCTATTGTGTAAGTACATACAAGCAGGTCACACAGTATGATCACAAATACATAACATCTGTTAACAATTATATTAAGAAGTATACAGGCTGCATATGTGTTCTCAGCCTTGGAGAAACTTGACATGTTTTGGGATGTCTGAACCTCTCTTTAGTGGTTTAATAAAACAGATATTTCAACGTGGGCCTACGTTGTTCATGTGCTGTTGAGGTACATTTCAGTAGTTGTGTGCTATAATGTATTTTCAAAGTGTGAAGAGGAGGCAACTTTAGAATAGGGAACCTGTTCAGGTCAATTAGTCAAACTACTAGCTTATTGGTTATGAACAAGACTTCACTTTAAAATAGGGAACATATTCTTAGATAGAAATATTAACACTTATAGTTTCATGTCTTGTTACATAAGGATAGATCACATTTGTTAAGTGTTATTATGGGAGAATTACTATTCTTGTGGTACTACTGCCTTATTAGGCCCCAGGTGTGTGTGCATGTTTTTTTTGTGTGTGTCCGTCACAGAGCATATGGTCAAAATTGCTTTTTGCTGCCAGCCTAACACACGCGCATACATACACACACGGTATCATGGCTGATCAAAACAGAGCTCAATTCAATATGGAGCAGTAACAGGATATTCAGCACTTTATGAGCGTCTGGTTATTTGGAGTTACAAAGAGCCAACGGATACTCATAAGGTTTTCTATAAAGGTGTTGTACCTCTACGAGGACTTCATATAAAGGGAATCCATATCCCATTCACGACAATCTCTTCTTATTTCTACCACACAGCATTGGATCCCATTTGGCCAACATGGCTTGTGAATACACAACATTGCTGCGGCTCGATAGGCTGCCATAAAAGGTGGCGCCTGTGCCATTGACTCCCCCATAAAAAGAAAGAGGGAGGAAGGGGGAGGTCTTTGTGGTGTCCCAAATGCATTACAGTGAAAGTGGTTCATTACAGAGGGTGGCTATAGTGTACACACATGCATACAGCCCCACACACCAGAGATGTTCACAAGTCTTTTTTTGCAAGTCCAAGTCAAGTCTCAAGTCTTTGGTCACGAGTCCAAGTCAAGTCTCAAGTCTTTGTGGGGTGAGACTTGATCAAGTCTCAAGACTTTGGTCACGAGTCCAAGTCAAGTCTCAAGTCTCTAAAAAATAAAAGTCTCATGTCTCTTCTGGTTGTAATAAGCCTTCTATTGTCTGCTGCTATCCAGTCTGTTAAGAATACTGCACAGCTATATCTAAGAAATTCAAAGCATTTACTGTATTATTATCACTCCTATATCTATTAGCATACAGTATCAGTACTGATTAGTTGTTTGTTATATGATCACTTTAAACAGGCTATTGCAATGCAATATGTATAAACATCACACTTTAGCTAAATGCAAACAACTTATAAGCAAAACACTTCAGAATCAGAAATCAGTATCACAAATACTTTATTAATCCCCCGCAGGGAAACTGTGTTAAAAGTACTTAAAAGTATACATTTGTTCTGTGCCATTTGCAACTAAAAAACTATTGCTGCAATATTATCTGAAATATACTGAACTGGTGATATTAAAACATGACCTGTTCCAAAAGAGATATCTACCATTAACACCATTTACCAGCCAAATGCTGGTAAATCATGCAAGTGGCTGGTACTGTACACCAGCCAAAAATAACAATGGCAATCTATTGAGTGGCTGGTAAAATTTCAACATTCACTAGGCTAGCCATTTGGCCAGTGGACAAAAATGTTAAAATTTGACCTCTGCAACCGTATTGTTTAATTACACTGGGTCTCTAATTACATCTTTTAAGTCTACTATAAATAAACATATTCCTCTATCCTCTCACTCAAACCCAGTGTAATGGTAACCTGATAAACCTGTAACATTAACGTTACGTGGTCAACAATAAACCTGTAACCTGCCTATAAACCGACAGATGTATTTATGTATGTAACTATGTATTTTTCTACGTTTAACGTTAGCCAGTAGATGGTGGCAGCGGAACGTAATGATTAACGTTACCGACCTTTTTTATGTCATGTCAAGAGTTGGATGTCAACGCCACTCAACGCAAACAAGTGTGACAAGCAAACATTCACTCATCTTTTCAAATATTCAGTTACAAAGCTAGTAGCAAGCTAAGTTAACATTACATAGCTGATGCTGAGCTAAACATGTTTGCTAACCATATGCGTTAATGTGACTGACCTCTCCGGGTGAGTTTTCAAGTGCCTGATGGAATTTGACGTTGTTGCACCAGCATCCTTGATTTTAATATTGCAGACTTTGCAGTGTGCGCTCCTTTTGTTGGTGCCGCCGGCGTTTTGTTCGAAGTTTTTCTAGTTGAACCTAATTACAAGCGATACAGCTGCAGGTGTGCCGCCGCATGATGTTAATGTTAATGTTGAAGGTGGGGTAGGTAAGTTTGAGAAACCGGCTCGAGATACACTTTTTGTTATATTCCATGGAATGCTCTTAACATCCCGATAGCCGGCCCGGCTAAAATAACTGGATGGCCTACCTGCCTGTCAGCCTCCATCGGGGCACAAACTTATCTCGTGCCCTCATTGGTCATGTGCGCGTTCGTGTGTGTTGGAGGAGGGGCTCTGTGAGGAAGTGGCGGATTTTCTCCGGTTGTGTATTTTCAAATTCTAGCGATCTCGAGCCGGTGTCAGTACCAGATATGTTCGGGCTACCAGATATGTTCGGGTGTATTTCCGTCGCATCCGTCATCCGTCATGTCCGTCTACTCACCTCCCTCTGCTCCCAGCGCTCTGCTGCCACACACCGGCCGTCTGCGGAACTGCAGCCGGAGGAACTCGGGACAGCTTGTTATGTGTGGGGTGCTATGGTGGGGTCCCATGTACTTATGCACATAAATAATGTTTCTAATTATTTACAATTAAAAATATATATATTCTGCGTTACTTTAGCCAACACTTTTATAAGGCCACTAGATTAGATAATTACGAAATGTGTGGATAGAATACATATCTTTCAGGTTGTTATTTTGTCATTATGTTTAATGTTTTATTTACCTTTTAGTATTTTTATATAGTATCTGAACTTTGGAGAGGAGTTGGGAGACACACGACACATCAAATCACATCTAAAGATCAAGACGAAGCGAATGGAAGTACTCCCATACTCCTAGCGTATAAATGTTTGTGAAAACGTGTGCAAAGTCTCCGAAAATCCTAAAAATAAGCTCATATTTGAATTCCCCATAAAAAAACACATCATTCAGTAAAAACAAGGCCCCACTGATCATCTACTCTCTGAGACGATTCCAGGGATGTCTGGCTTGAGTTTCTACCACCAGGGAAAGTGGACAAAAGTGCCCGAGATAAACCTCTTAATTTACCCAGGGCCTAGTGCTTGGCTTTTGGCATGAACATTCAGGAAACTCCCCTGAGTATTTTATTAAATATCTGAACTTTGGAGAGGAGTTGGGGGACACACGACACATCAAATCACATCTACAGATCAAGACGAAGCGAATGGAAGTACTCCTAGCGTGAAAATGTTTGTGAAAAACGTGTCCAAAGTCTCCGAAAACGGAGCAGT